GCTGTCGCTTAGAAAGGAGTAACCTAGTTAGGTTTTTGCACTGATATTCCAAATATGCTGCAAGTTTACCAAGTCCGTTAGGAAGAATGACATTGCAGTGGAGCGTCACAGAAGTCTAAGTGCGATGTCCAAGATTTTGTAAACGTTCTAGTGCATCGCTGCAAACATCCTTCATTATCCTGGTGTCAAAAAACCAAAAAATTATTTGTCCATTCGCCCATCGCTTTTGCAGATGTGTTATTGAGCATTCGCTTAAATACATATCCCTTCCAGGGATATGAGTCAGGGGGGAAAGGAACATATTTATACTGTTCGCTATTTACCCCACGAAAGAGCGCCGCCTTTCAGCAGGATGAAACTAAGGTGCGCTCTTTGGAGGCCCTATCGTGCTACAACATTTTAGTTCTATCGGATAATACGTTAGTGATTTGAAGAGACTCATCAATGAGGCATGGTTTTATAGCTGCTACTTAGAGAAACACGGTTACGGACATTGTTAAAACTGTTACACATACCGTTGCCAGATTGCTTTAGGTTTTTTCGCGGTACTAGGAAGTTTATGAGGAGTAAAATATCTTTGTACAGACTGTAAAATTACGTATATGCCTTCAAATTAACCCAGATTTCTTGCCACATGAAACCGCTTTACATCTCGCTTTGCACTCATCTAAACTATCCGCGATTATAAGAAACCTGAAACTGGCGGCGTTTTGCAAATAAGTAACCCAAGTACACATCATCGGTTAGCCTGAAATGCTGCGTGGCTGCTCATTAAAATTCCGGACTCTACGGATCTGTGGGAGTTTTTTTTACAAAGTTCGATAATGTCACCTGGCACCACATTTACATACAAATTTTCTGAGATCTGATCTCCGCTTGTGGCCATGTTCGTGAGTCCGGGATGTTGGCTATGCTGCCAACCTCTGGGATGGAACTCTTCCAATATTTTGTTAGAGGGAAATTGGGCCACCTCGACAGTTCTTCCCCCCCCCCCCCTCCGCCCTCCCTCTCCCCACTCCCCCCCGCCTCGCT